TACTGGTCGATGTAGAGGTGCGCACGTGTCGTAGTAGAGGCGCGCACGTAGCATGTACACGTACGTACAGCGGTCATGGTGCAAGAAAGAAAATACGGCCACGTATGTGTACATACGGGCGGGGTCTCGAACGCCTACTCGCGCATACGTACGGCGAGGGCTCGTTTACATGGCTGGGTCGGAACGGAGAAACAGCGTTGTCATCGTGTTCATGGGAAGGCAATGGAACGTGTCGTGTTCATGGGGAGGCAATGGAATGCGTCGTGTTCATGGGGAGGCAACGGAATGCGTCGTGTTCATCGGGAGGGCTCGGACGGAATAGGCGATGGAAACGAGGCCTGGCGTACTGCAGAACGGATGAAACGGCCTTGTGTTCGACCGGCCATGTTCGAAACGGGATCCTGTTGATCGGGAGGGGTCTGGCGTACCGCAAAACAAAGGAAATGGACCTCCTACGGTCGAAACGGGGGTCCTGTTCATCGGGAGGGGTGTGGCGTACCGCAAAACAGAGGAAACGGACTTGTGTTGGAGCGCTACGGTCAAAACGGGGGTCCTGTTCATCGGGAGGGGTGTGGCATACCGCAAAACGGGACTCCACGAGATACTGTTCATCTCCACCGTCGACCCCCTCCAACCTCCACAAGCTACTGTTCATCCACCGTCGACCTCCTCCAGCCTCCACCTGCAACTGTTCATCCACGGGCTCCTGTTCATCCAGCCTCCACCACGCGCTACTCCACCGGCTACTGTTCAACCAGCCCTCTCCACGGGCTCCTGTTCAACCACCCCTCCACGGGCTACTGTTCATCCTGCCCTCCACCATCTACTGTTCATCCTTCCCTCCATGGGGTGGTCCTGTTCATCTAGCCCACCATAGGGTCCTGTTCATCCAGCCCCAACCGGCTCGATCGATTGGGGTCCTGTTCATCCAGAGGCAACACCACGGGGTCCTATTCATCCACCCCCACCGGGAACTGTTCATCCAACACCCCCCCCCTCCCCGCAACGCTCACTCTTCATCCAAAGGCAGTATCGATCGGCTTCAGTTAGCAGCAGTAGCGAAGGAATCGCTCGATCGGGTTTAGTTAACAGCCATCGATCAATCGCTCGGGTTCAGTAATGCGTAGTCTGCAGTGCAATCGCTCGGGTTCAGTTAGAGCCAACGCCTCGCTCGGGTTCAGTTAGAGCCAACGCCTCGCACACACGCGCGTACGTGTATGAGAGAAACGCGCATCGCTCGGCCCCCGACCTCCCACCGTAATCGGGAACTCCCGAAATTTTCCTCGCCCTCGCTTCTACCACTATTTTTTCCATCATGGACGGCCCAAAGAATGTCATGCAGCTGCGTCTCCGGCCCGCCCAGGACAAAAAGCCCATTTTGTGTCATGATTTTTTGTCATAGAAGTAGGAGCCCACCACATCTATGATGATACCGGGTTTTGTCACAATTATCGTCATAGAAGTGTCATATGTATGACAGAAAAAAGTTTCGTTCGGCCCAAAATGTCACGGATGTGTCTTTTTTTTTGTAGTGTCTCCTCGTCGCCCTCAACCCCGCCTCGACTCACCGGTGAGCCATCGACCTTGGTGACCACCGCGACCACCTGAGACCCTGTCCGCCCAAGCACTGGCTCGATCCACCGCGACCACCTGAGACCCTGTCAGCACGCCCATCAACCACCGCTGCAACTAGGCCGGAGCTTCGTCGCCCTTCTCGTCCTCCTTCCCCGCGTTTTCCTCTCTTTCTCTCTCTCGCTCTCACATCACTCCCTCTGTCTTGGTTCGTCAACAGGAGGAGCCCCCGCCGCCAGTGACCTCCTCTGCGCTGTTCCCGTCGTCTAGACCCTGCCTCCCTGCTTCCCCGTGCTCGAGCATGTAGCCGCCCGTGCCCAGGCAGCATCTCGAGGAAGGAGTCCCCAAGCACGTCCAAGACCTCCAGGAGCCCGTGGCCTCCTCTGCTTCTCCTCCTTGTGCCTCGCGGGGGTAGCTCCACCCTCGGTTGAAGCCCCGCAGGTCGCCGCCTTGCCAAGTCTCGCGCCGTGCCATTCTGCTCCGCTCCCGGCGGCCTCCACCTCGCCTGCCCGTTGAAGCTCCATCCGCCGCTGCGTCCTCTGCGTCGCGGCCGCGCCAAGGCTCCTATTTCTTCGACGTTGACCGCGCCAGCTCCCCTGCATCGCTCAGTCCCCGCTTCAGGAACGAGACGATGAGCGCTGCAGCAACCGCGTTGACCGCATCGGTCAGATCGGGTCGGCCTGTGATGTTTCCCCGTCGGCCCAGTGCGCCTCCTCTCTGGCCCAGCTTCAGTTTCGGCCTGCTAGGCCTGATGTGAGCAGACCCCTCCAGATCCCCTGTTCCTATTGGGCCAGCAAGTTTCAGCCCAGTGGATGTTTTTTTTGGGTTCTATGAATTTGCTAATTACCAGGGTTTTACAGATTTGCAGAAAAACCCTTGCACTTCATGCATATAAAAACTCATCAACCGTGCATCGTATTAAAATATTTTATATATGTAACTTGCTTAGAATTTTGTCTATTTCATAATATGCAACTTTCATGCATGTTAAAAATGTTTAAACTTGTTGTTTGTTTTATTTTGCCTATTGCCATGCTAAAATGATTTTATTCATAACTAAATAATCGTGGCTTGGTTTTTAATAAACTTTATATGTAAATGGGGTAGAAAAAATGCCTAGTTTAACATGGTGTACTTGTTTTGCATGTTTAATAACTCTAAAATTATGTTTAGGGCAGAATAGTACCTAATCCAAAAATATGCATATGAGGATTTTCCGGAATTGTTGTTCGTTGTTTCCGGCCTTATTTAAACTTGACTAGATAGTTAGTTTAACTTTGCTTCACCCCTTGCCATGCTAAACAACATTTAATATTGTTGAGTACATAAACGAGAGAGAACTAAATAAGGCATGTGGTATTCCGTCAATATGCAACTCATTGCATATTGAGCTCCACTGAACTTGTAGCGTTGTTTGTGCACTTTGCCATGACATGCTTCATTAAACCGGACATGCATCATAATTGTTTGTGCATCATGCCATGTCTATGTGGTGGTTGTTTACTATGTTGTTTGCTTCTTTCTGGTGTGCTTCTTCGGGTTGGCTCTGATAACGTCGTGTGGTGATGATTCGTTCGACTACGTCCGTTTGTCTTCTTCATGTACTCGTTCTTCTTCCTTGCGGGATCTCAGGAAAGATGACCATACCTTCGAAATCACTTTTATCTTTGCTTGCTAGTTGTTCGCTCTATTGCTATGCTGCGATACCTACCACTTGCTATATCATGCCTCCCATATTGCCATGTCAAACCTCTAACCCACCTTGTCCTAGCAAACCGTTGTTTGACTATGTTACCACTTTTGCTCAGCTCCTCTTATAGCGTTGATAGTTGCAGGTGAAGATGAAGTTTGTTCCATGTTGGAACATGATTTTTGTTGGGATATCACAATATCTCTTATTTAATTAATGCATCTATATACTTGGTAAAGGGTGGAAGGCTCGGCCTTATGCCTGGTGTTTTGTTCCACTCTTCCTGCACTAGTTTCCGTCATACTGGTGTTATGTTCCTTGATTTTGCGTTCCTTACGTGGTTGGGTTATAATGGGAACCCCTTGACAGTTCGCCTTGAATAAAACTCCTCCAGCAAGGCCCAACCTTGGTTTTACATTTGCACTAACAACCTAGCATTTTTCCCTTGGGTTTTCGGAGCTCGAGGGTCATCTTTATTTTAACCCTCCCGGGCCAGTGCTTCTCTAAGTGTTGGTCCAACCTGAGCGATGTTCGGCGCCCCTTGGGCAACCAGGGTCTATGCCAACCCGACACCTGGCTCATCCGGTGTGCCATGAGAACGAGATATGTGCAGCTCCTATCGGGATTTGTCGGCACATCCGGGCGGCTTTGCTGGTCCTGTTTTACCTTTGCCGAAATGTCTTGTAACCGGGATTCCGAGTCTGATCGGGTCTTCCCGCTAGAAGGAATATCCTTCGTTGACCGTGAGAGCTTGTGATGGGCTAAGTTGGGACACCCCTGCAGGGATTTGAACTTTCGAAAACCGTGTCCGCGGTTATGGGCAGATGGGAATTTATTAATGTCCGGTTATAAAGAGCTTGACACTTGACTTAATTAAAATGCATCAACCGCGTGTGTAGCCGTGATGATCTCTTTTCGGCGGAGTCCGGGAAGTGAACACGGCTTTGGTGTTATGCTTGAAGGTAAGTAGTTCTAGGATCACTTCTTGATCTTTGTAGCTTCTTGACCGTGCTTTGCCTTCTCTTCTCGCTCTCATTTGCGTATGTTAACCACCATATATGCTAGTGTGTGCTGCAGGTCCACCTCACTACCTTTTCCTACCCATAAGCTTAAATAGTCTTGATCGCGAGGGTATGAGATTGTTGAGTCCCCGTGACTCACATATTACTTCCAAAACCAGTTGCAGGTGCTGATAATACCGGTGCAGATGTCGCAGCTGAGCTCAAGTGGGAGCTCGATGAAGTTCGTGTTCGTGGTATTGTTTCGTTTCCAGTTGATCAGTAGTGGAGCCCAGTTGGGGCGATCGGGGATCCTAGTCGGACCTTGATTGTATTCTGGATGATGTAAAGTTATATTCTTGTATTGTGTGAAGTGGCGATTGTAAACCAACTCTTAATCTTTATCTTATTCAGTACATGGGATGTGTAAAGATTACCCCTCTTGCACATGCCTACAATGCGGTTATGCCTCTAAGTCGTGCTCCGACACGTAGGAGATATAGCCGCATCGTGGGTATTACACTTACAAACATTACCAGTACATTGCATGCATTATTACATTTTACATTACATTCGTATAAATCCAAACAAATTATGTCGATCGTCCTGGTCCCACGCTACACACCTAATTCTTGCGTGTGGACGGAGAAGCACTTGATTCAGCTGTAATTTATTTTTTCACCCTAATTTAACTAGGAATATAGTAGAAATAATTCAGACACGCATAGAGATTGGGACGATCACTGAGACTCCCAGGCGCCGAGCGCGCGCCTGGGCGTGGGCTTGGGTTTGCTGTCCGTCTTGACGGCGTAGGATGCCTCCATGGCGATGCCGCAGAGCCCGCCTTCGGCACCGGAATCCTTCTCCACCCTGATGTACCCCTTCTCCCCCCACGACGGGCCCCACGAGTTCTTCACCGTCCAGTACGCCTTGCCGTCCTCCGCCACGCCGTACCCGACCACCGCGACGCCGTGGTCCAGCTCTGTTCCACACTCACCGGTGAACACCCCCTCGGAGTAGAACATGAACGCCTTCCCGCTGGCATCGATGCCCACGGACACGGGCTGGTTCGCCACGGCCTTGGCCAGCGCCTCCTCGCTGTTGGCCGGCACGTCCTGGTGTCCGTCGATGTGCACCACCATGGGGGAGCTCTTGGCCACCTTCGCGGCTTTGCAGGTGCCGTTGGCAGCCCGGTACGGGTAGGCGGCCTCGGTGGTGAGCCCGCCGTTTTTCTTGATGTACTCAAAGGCGTTGTCCATGAGCCCGCCCTCGCACCCGTCGTTGTCCGCCGTGTCGCAGTCGATGAGCTCCTGCTCCGACAGCGACACCAGCTTCCCGGTTCGGATGGCGTTGATGCCTTCCACGGACACCACGGTGGAGAAAGCCCAGCAGCTGCCGCACTTGCCCTGGTTCTTGACGCCGGTCACCGCGCCCTTCTGGCGCCAGTCCACGGACCGCGGCAGGTCCGACACGTTCACGGCGGCGTACATGAACCCCGGGACCGACGGTGGCGTGGCGGGGCCGTCGCGGCGGCGGTCGCTGACGCGGGAGCCGGCGAAGGTGGCGCGGAACTCGGCCTGGCTCATGTCGCCGAAGCGGTTGAGGCGGAGGCGGTAGGGGCGGTCGCCGCGCTTGTTGTGGGAGTGGATGAAGTGGACGTTGGACTTGAAGGTGCCGAAGCGGCGGTGCTTCTCAGCGTGGTGGCGGGGCACGCGGTGCGCGGTCTGCCACCGCTCGTACAGGTCCCACAGCGCCTCCTCCGACTCCAGGTCATTGTCCTCGAGCGGGATGGCGCCGCACAGCTCCACTGCTGCCACGGCCAGCACCGCCACCACCATGGACGCCACCAGAAGCTTCTTGCTGAGCTGCCCCATCGTGCTGCTCTGCTCTACCGCCGGTACACCACGAGCTGTAGTGGCTACCTTTGTACTGCAGACCTAGCAGCTGCTTGGGGGCTAGTTAGCTTCGAGTGTGAGATGATGATGGTGGAAGAGAAGGGAGGAGGCGTATTTATAGGTGGAGATCGTCCGACCGATCGAGCACCGAGGAGTGTGGAAAAGCTTTGCATGCAAGCAAGCAGGGAGTTAGAGGCAGAACGGTGCTGCTCCGGCGATCTGCTTTGCGGCGGGAAAGACACGAGGAGGTTTAAAACTTTAAATGGCGGTAACAGAAAGCTGAGCGGAGCGGTGTCAGACTCTGCTCGAGGTGGTTGCGGCTTGCTCCCAAGTTGCGTTCGGCGGTGATATTTGGGAGGCGACGAAGATTCATCGCCAGGTGCAGGCATGATTCATTCGTATGTTTGGGTCACTTGATCACCGCCGGCTGTGATAGCCTGCTGATCGTAGGTGTGTAGTTCCATGGATGCTACGCCGTAGAACTGGTAGATGCAGTTACTGCTGAATGCTTCAGGCTGGTCACAATGGGTAAGAACATAAGCTAGTAACTTACACACTTCCCTAGACTATGTTACTACCTCCATAGTGGGTAGGAACATTTATGTAGTGTCATGCAACGATGTATTTATTAGGTTATAGACTCATTGTTTCTTGGAGTGTGTGATGTTCCGGTAACTTAGCTAGTTACCACAAGCACCTCTCTCTTCATTAAATATGTGCCACATAAGCAAAGTTGTATTGGAGTGTGTGATGTTACTCCTAAGTTCCTTCCCATTGTGACCAGCCTCATCGCGTAGTACGTACGTACCCCTACGGCTGTTGTGCTTGGGGTGGCCGTTGAGTCTGTCGAGAGGATCAAGCACGGTATTGATGGCGGTTGAGGAGTCCGAGGTGCTCCGCCACTGTATTAACTACACCGGTCGGCCGGCCGGCGGCTCGTCGGGGTAGTCTGCGGCGCGGCGGTTGTTTGCGTTTACTCTGTTCCCACTCTCAAGAGGCGGACGACTGTGGGTAGGCTGCTCCGTCTAGTACTACACGTTTTCCGCTCTCTTTTTACTCTGAACCGCTATTTCTTATCTTATCTTATCTTATCTTATCTTACCTACTCCCTCCTTCCATCTATATAGAGCCTAGTGCGTTTTTTGAGGCTGACTTTGATCAAATATTAGAGCAATAATATATGACATGCAACTTACACAAAGCACACCGTTAAATTTATGTGTGAAAGGAGCTTTCAATGATATAATTTTCATATTGTGCATGTCATGTACTATTAATCTTGTCAATGGTCAAAGGCGGTCTTAAAAACGCATTAGGCCCTATATAGATGAAAGGAAGGAGTACTAATAAAGCACGGATTGTTTCTGGTCGTCCGTCACGCCATTTTTACAAATAAACCCCTCAATTTTCTGTAAATCAACCCGCAGTACATGTTTAAGTTATAATGGAACCATTTTTTCTCATTTTCTCAGAAAACCCCCTGACGTTTTAGACAATCAACCCGCCGTCCATATTTAAGTTAACCAAAACGTTTTTTTAGTTTTAACAGAAAACCCCTTGACATTTCGGTTAATCAATCTACAGTTTATGTAAAATAAGATTATTCATATCTTTTAAACCGTAACTTAAATTTTAACATGTTATATATGAAACTTGATTAAAAAAATATGTAGAATCTAAATATGAAGTTATTTTTAGCTGTTAAATATTGCTAAAATATAATTTTTGGTGCAAACTTAATATATAGTGTACGGTCTGTTTTTTTGTACCGTCGGTGATTCAAATTGCAAATAAACATCTATTAAAACCAGAGTGAGAGAAAAAAACATCAAGAACCATGCATACACAACTATGAAAAACCTTGCGGGAAAAAAACAACATACTTTTTATCTTATTCCAAGCGAGTGTGCGCACGTGCGCGCGCGCAAAAGAGAGAGACATTAAGACTAACCGCATTCAAACGTGTTTTCATTGTATGAGCACAGAGGTCACTGTCGGCAATACAAATATGATGCCATGTGAAACTAAAAGACGTGGGCCTATTAATGTCTTGAGTCATGGTTATTGGGTTAAGAGTGTGTGTTATTTTCTTTCCCATTGCAATGCACGGGCTTTTTTTTCGAGCGAGTGTGTGAGTATAGAGGAAATACAAATGTGATGTCATGTGAAACTAAAAGACGCGGGCCTATTAAGGTCTTGAGTCATGGTTATTGGGTTAAGAACATGTGTTATTTTCTTTCCCGTTGCAATGCACGGGTTTTTTTGTTAGTAATTACTAATAAACGAAGTATCACTCGGTTCGTTTCACATATTGAAATCTATAAAAAGACTTATATCATCGTATGTAGTTCATATTGAAATCTTTAAAAAGATTTGTATTTAGGAACGAAGGGAGTATACTTGTATATACATGTGAAAACTATCATAAGACCGTGTCCAATTTGTTCAAGAACCCCAAATAGAAACATATTACAAATAAGTCCTTTGGGGTCCATGCAAACAACTAGATCTGAAACCGCCTTCGACCATCAGCATCGTTAGGCGCACACCAGAGGAAGACATGGAACACCAACAAACCAAAATCCAGACCAATGCCATAGCCTTGAAGGTGTGAGAGCCGAAGACCAGACCTGCAGAATAGGCACTTGGCGATGTGGCGTGTCGTCCGAGGATGTTCCCCACGCCAACATGGATCCAATTTTGATAAATCCCGCCGTCGTTGTCAAGAAAGAACGCCAGATCCGCCCCATCGGGCCAGCAACCTTGAACCAGCACCTACATATCCCTTTTGCCGACGCTGCCTTGAATGGCAACAGCTGCCAGACACAGGAAACATAAAGCTCACCGCTCCGAACGAACGGCGAGCAGACAAGGCCATCGGCTCAACGGCGTCGTCGGAGAGAGCGTCACCATGGTGAGAAGAGACCGAAGTCATCTTATTCAACGAAACACCAACCTCACCGAACAGTGAAACAGGGCTACTAGA